GGGGGGGGGGGGGGGGGGAAGCAAAACAACCCCAGCTAATTTGGTAAAGAAACAGATTATGCAAATCCAGAGTGTTTATGCATGATTCCTGACCACCACCACCCTCCCCTGCAAATACACATTCTCCTTCATCAGCATATGCAGGACCCCTCCCCAGCCTCACTCCCCCTCCCCCATGACGCACAAATGCATCACAACAAACTTTGCAGTGAAGCCCAGGGGCCACTCTCTGTACCGCATCCCCTGTCCTCATTCAGCATATCTGGGCTTCCTGTTGTGTTTACAAATCTCCCTCTCTCGGTTTTTCTCTCTCTGTGTGTTACACACACACACACACACACACACACACACACACTGTTACACACACGTGCACACACACTACACAACACATGTTTCACACACATGCAGGCAGGCTCACATACTTTTGATTCATTGACTTCCAAATCTTCCAAATCCAGCTCAGCCTTTTGATGGGGAGGTGTGGGTGGGCGTCCAATGTTGCACCCAGCTGAACTTTGCATGGGCCCAACCTTGGGAAGCTACTTCTTCTGGGGAGGGGAGGGGAAGGGGATTGTGCAATGCACCCGGACCATAAATTGCCACAATCGGGAGGACCAGGCCAAGCTGCGAAAATGATGAATGGAGGTTGGTCCGTAACCCCGAGCATGGCTGCGTTGTGACGAGCTGTGCGCCCCTCTCTAAAGGTGTGTGTGTGTGTTTACTCCGAGAGGGGATCCCAACTGAAGGCGCCCGCATGCCTAGCTGACGAATTGCGAAGAACAACACAACCTGGGGAAGGGGAAAGGGGGGAGAAGGGGGCTTTGCTGGCGGTGTTAACTTCTTCCTGCCAAAATGTAGGGAGTTTTTTTTGAAGTGGGGGGGAGAGATCTCCCCTTCCACGTGTCACAACTCCATCCTCTCTTGTTGGCTCCATTCTCTCTGTCACCCAAGTTTGTATACAGGCTTCAGGGAAGGGGAAGAGTGGGGCGGGGAGGGGGCTCCAGAGGGGGAGGGCCGGCTTTCCCCCTCCCTCCCTCCCCCCCCTCTCTCTCTCGCACAGCCGGTCCTTTCCTTTGTGCCCGAACCAACCCTTCCAGGAACACAAAAACCCCGCTGGGTGACGAACCCTTCCGTGCCATCTTCCCAAGGCGGCAGCCCACCTGGGGCCCGAGGTCAGCTTTCTTTCCCGTGGGCCGCCGGGCCACGCGCGCTTTCCCCCGCCCGCCCGCCCGTCCGAAAGCCGTGGAGCTTGCGTGGCTGGCTGGCTGGCTGGCTTGCTTGCTTGCTTCCGAGTAGAGCTGCACGTCTCCCTCGCTTGCGCACCCACGGGCGGGCGCGCACACACACGCGGACAAACACACACAGAGAGAGAGAGAGAGAGAGAGAAAGCGAGGGAGCGAGAGCGCGGCGGCGGTTCCTTTGTTGGCCCCTCCGCCCGGCCAGGCGGGGCAGGCGTGGCGGGTCTCGGGAGGCGTCGGAGCCGGAGGAGGGGTCCGCGCGGGCGAGCCAGCCAGCCAGCCAGCCAGCCAGCCAGCCAGCCAGCGATCCCCAGGCTCGGGGCCATCCTTGCCTTGCCTCGCCTTGCCTAAGCCTACCTTTGTGCATGCCGGTGAAGCGATCCTTGAGCACGGTGAGTTCGTAGATCTTGCCGAATTCCTCGAAGAGGGGCTTGAGGTCGGTCTCCTCCAGGTTCCGCGGGATCTGGCCGATGAAGAGCTTGATGGCATCGTGATCCTTCAGGGCGATGGAGCCCCCCGGGCCGGGCGCCGGCGCCGTCAGCCCGTTCATNTGTGAATGTATATATGAAATTGATAAAATAAAAAAATTATTAAAAAATAAAAATAAAAAAATAAAAATTCAAAGACCAGGGAAGCATGCTGTAAGATCTCAGCCTTAACCAAATGCTTTCATTCTCTCGCAGCTAAAAAAAAAACACCCCAAAAGTTGGTCATACATGTGCAGGAAGTTAAAACGCATCTCTTGCGTTTAATGGACAGCAGAGAGAGAGCCTTCTGCTGATAACTTCCAAGAAGTGGAGCTAAAAATATAACGTGGAGTAGGAGAACCTGCTATTTGGGGGAAGAAAAAGTGAAATGCAAGCATTCTTAAACAAGAGTGAGCCTACTTTTTCTCTTACGGTATCTGTTCGGGGTTTTTATTTTTTTTTAATCTTTCCTTCTTCTATCCTCCATTTTAGCTCCTAGAAATCGCTCCCAGGGACCTAACCAGACCCATTTTGCCCGTCTGAAACGCACTCATTCCGCGATAATTGATTTCTGACCTTCCGTAAAATTAACATCCAGGAATTTTATCAGCGGGTCGACCTCTTTCTAACTTTGAGGTGACACAGAAGAATGGCACTCTTTGGGAAAAGTGAAAGTGGCTTGCAAAATACACCCACTCTCTCACTCACTCACTCTCTCTCTCACACACACAGACGCACTCCTTTGCTGCCTGTTAAAAGACTAAAATACTAATCAGATTAGGCAGGTATGATGATATTGAGCCTGCTTCAAATAGGGGTTAAAGGCACTAGAAACCGGGAGCTGGGAGTTCTAGCCTAGCCTTAAGCACGGTGCCAGATGGGTAAAGTATCTTGTTACCCCTACTCAACTAGATGCCTCCAAGAAATTCCACAGAGTAGGAGCCCAATGGGGTCTCCTAAGAGGTTCCATTCAGAAGTAGACAGTCCATTGTTGAGAGAGAGAACCTGTTTGGTGTAAAGGCCCTTGTTTACAAAGAGGAAGACCACGAATTCTCGTCCTGAGCTAAGGCGACTTTGGCCCAGCCCCTTTTCCTCAGTCCTAAGAAGAAGACGATGAACCAGTTCACGGGAAAGGTTGCCAAGAAACCTGCAAGGAACCGTCCAGCCAATGGCAAGAAGTCCACGCTGACTTGAACGCACGCAAATAATGTCACGCCACGACCCAGACATGGGCTCCTGGCGTGAAAATACGCGGTGTGCACACAGAAAGACACGTCCCACCCCATGCTCAACGGTCCTCACACCAGATCTAAGCCAGCTGAGGAACAAGAAGCAGGAAATCCTCCAATAGTAGATCTTTACACCTCCTTAGCCAGTTGTTGTGGAAACCGTTGTGTGTGGGGGGAGGGGGTTTGAAGGGGGGGAAGAATGCTAGCTTCACACCACACACTTCACCAGAACTGCCAAAGATGTCATCTCTATATTCGCCTACAAAGCTTTGCCGAGGTAATAAGCCAACAAATAAATATTTGGTGCCTTCGGTTTATTGGTTTGTTGCCTTTAGGGATTAACCCAACTGCAAAGAACTCGGAAAAACGGGGGGGGGNCATCTGGTACCAATTATCTGGACATACCTTTAACCATCTTTGGACCATTGTATTTACTCCTGTACTTAACAGTGTTGCACCCAGGTAAACCAGGGAGTGACCCAAACAAACTGAGAATCATGTATGTTATTTTCCACTTTTAACGTCAATACTTTTTAATTATATCTTAATGTCAGCACCTTTTTAACATAGTGTAAAAACTAATGTGTATTGCTGGTCTTTGACCGTATTAAAGATTTACTTACTTACTAGGTTGGTAGAAGCTGGGACAAGTCACAGGAGCTCACTCCTTTATGTGGCGCTAGGGATTCGAACAGCTGAACTGCTGACCTTTTGATCAACAAGCTGAGTGTCTTAGCCACTGAGCCACAGTGTCCCCTGAGTTTATGAGATGTGAGCTATCTAGAGTCATGTACGTATGTGAGATGGGTGGCTATAGACATCAAGCAAACAAACCACTCTACGCACCAAGCCGCATGATGGTTTAATGGCTGTCAGTACATTGCCTTGCAGCCTGGATTCACACACCAATCATAACCTGCTCGCTGATTAAATGATTTTCTAAGTTTGCCCACTACATTGATCTCCCAAGCAAACAAACACCCAAACTTTCATGCAGCTCCCAAATTCAACATCAATCTCCTTGCCCGCCGAAACCAAGATACATACTAACCAAGCTGAAGCCTACGATCCAAGTGTGGTGGCTAAGGACACATTTAATTGAGCCCGATCAGCGTGTCACACAGTTAAGGACCCTGTTCCAAACGAGGACATTCTACCAAGAAGTGCAATTCCCAAAGACTCTCTGAGATAGTGACCGAGGGAAGGACGGGGTTTGACGGACAGGTTTTCCACATGAGTGAACGATGTCCAGCAAAGAGCATGATCAATTGGATACAACCAGACGGCCGGAGAAAAAAGAGGAAGGCCAAAGAAAACCGGGCACCAGGAAGAATCTGAAAAACGTCAACGTTAAATGGAAGGATGCAGAGATCATAGCTGTGGACCGGGCAACGGTTGGGGTACACTTGTAGCTCAATTTGCTCGGGAGAAAGGCGTGAAAAATTTAAAAAAAGATCAGTGTGTTGTATCGAGCGAGTTGTTTGATTGTACTTTCTTGGGCCTGCTGAACTGGGCAAGTGCCTCCCTTCTCTCCTACACACACTGTGGGTAGGGAATTAAGACAGAGGCCGCCCAGCACCTCTTAACTTCTTCCTTCCAGGAAGGCTCAGCTGATATTTTGTTATGGCTAAATAGTCACAAATGAGATTAGCACCTTGGGATTTTCACATCAGCTTCGCACAGCCGCTGGATGGGGAGAAGTGACCAGAGAGGGATGCTGTTTACTTCCGTGGGGTAGAAGAAGGGGAAATATTATTATTATTATTATTTTGCTTAACCCTTCGGTAAAAAGAGGAGGAAGATGCAGCTCAGAGGATATCGGGCACATCAGAGCTCCCCCCATCTCCCCTTTTTTTCAAAAAAATTAAATCCTATATAAAGCTTCCTGAAAGGATATTAAAACAGCAGCAAAACAGTTTCCCTTCGAAAATGTAAATATTTAATGAGCGAAATTTGACATTGATGCATTTTTAATATTGGCACAATTAAATCTGCCAGATGATTAAGTATTAATAACTCTTAATAAGTGCAACCCTCTTGTCTTCCAATGGAAAGAAATCAAGAGTGACAGACACTTAAAGCCAGAACAAGAATCCTGTGGACAAACCAGGTGATGGACAAACAAGTGCTTATGGAAGGAAGGAAGGAAGGAAGGAAGGAAGGAAGGAAGGNTAGAATAGAATAGAATAGAATAGAATAAGGGATAGAGTAGAGTAGAACAGAACAGAATAAGGAATAAAACAGACAGAACAACATAGACTAAGGAATAGAGTGGAGTGGAATGGAATGGAATTCTTTATTAGCCACGTGTGATTGGACAAGGCATTATTGTTACTATTAAACAACAACATCTCCCTATCCCAGATACTTGGGAAGGATTTGATAGGTGGATAAAATGCCAAATCCAATCTAAACATCTGGTTTACTGTGCAACCAACCATAATTAGCACATGGCCCGGGCTGCTCTGTAGAAAGCTACTTGGGGAAAAAACTGCAGAAATACGAACGATACCACAGAATAGTAGACTCCTTCATCTAGAAGGGGACATTTTTGGCCATCTTCTGCTCAGTGCATGTATCCAGATTAAACTAACCCAAATGATTGATGTCCAACCATTGCATGAATTCCTCCGAGGAACAAGAATCCATACCGATTTCACCATTGACCTGTCAGGGGCCGGGACAAGGGTCAACCCATAAGTCAGAGATGGAGAACATCTGGAAGAGAGATTGTTCTTCAGACCGTGTCCAAGCTCAAAAGTTTAGGTATCTGGTAGCACCTTTTCCAACCAACACATGTTCTTAGAAGGCGGAAATTTTAGTCAGCTGTAGCTTAGGCATTTTAAGAACATGTGTTAGCTGGAAGAAAGTCTACAAGAAGGTCCTCAGTATTTTCCCCTGAGGGCTAACATGGTCTTGTTTTAAAATATCCAAGCTGGAATAGGCCACCTGTTCAAACCTTCCAAGGAGCCAGTGGCCAGCTCTCACGAGATCCACCCGGAGCCGAAGGTTGCCTCGGTGTATCTCTAGTAGCCAGACACACAGCCAAGGTGATGTCCCCATGGGTGATTGGAAGCCTCCACCAAGCCTTGGAGATCTTCCCAGGGAATTTAGCCTTCTTGCCCTAATTTCTCAGCACAGGATTCTTGTCGATATGCAACAACCTGGTTTGCTGCCAAAACTTGAGACCCAGCTGATCTCTTTTGAAGTCCATCTTGTGTATCGGTTGGTTTAGAAGGGATTTCTTGGGGCCGTGCCACCATCCACCTTGCCCTCCCCCCTCAAAGAACGTCCAACTGGCGTAGCTGCCCAAGTCGCTTCTCTGTCTCCTAACAGCTCTGCCTCGCTGGGCTTGTCGCTTCCAGCCGACGACGTGTCCCTTCATCTCAACATCCTTCACACCTGTTCAGGGTGCCTGCCCACGTCTCTATAAATACCCCCTTCCTCTGTGAATCGGAAATGTCAAACCTTTACCGGCCAATGAGGGATGCTATCGTGACCTGATTGCACGGGAATCCTCCAAGCCCCAAATGCACTGGGTGTCAACTGGGTGTGGGTGTGTGGTGGTGATGGTGGGGGGGTTGGGTATAAGAGGAAAATGAATTTGCACCAACTCCCAGGTGAGACCAGTAGCCACAAAGCATCCTCATCTCTCAACCACATCGGCCAGGGGATTCCGATGGAAGAAATCCTGCTCAGGGATTCAGGGAAAGTCCTTTTCGGTCTCATCATTGCTGATGTCTCCTTCCATCTATGCTTTGGCCAGCCGCCTCGCCAACTCTTACAACGGTGTAGTGCTGAAGACCCAGATGGTTGGGTGGGTGGGGGGCAAGATGCGGACTCTGTAAACCGCT